AGATTGTCTTGGGCCTGGGGCTGGCGGGTGCTGGGCTGGCTCTGCCGGGTCTGGGGATCTGTTCTTACTGTTGGACAGCCTGGGAGCTGCTGCAGAAAGGCCTTTCTTCCAGAAAGAAGGATGGGTGTTTGCTGATAAAAGTGTCAACAAGAACTACCGTAATGCAAAGCCTTTTTTTTAAACTATGGCATTTAAATCACAGAGAATATGCAAAGGGAACACTCCTGTTTGTTTAAAAGTTTAATTTCAGGCTGTGTAAGCAGGAGTATAAAAGGATTTCCTTGGGGGAAACCAAACCTGATGCTGCCTCCATTTACAAAAAATATACTTTAGTCTATTTTGTTCCTGCGAGATGTGCATTGGTTCTGGAAGGCTTTGGGAAGGAGCCTCAGCAATCCTCTCCCCTGGACTAAGCTGCATTGGGGGCTGGTGGAAGCTGCAGGACTGGCACAGGCAGGAGGAGGGTCTGTGTGGGCAGCTGGGGAACAGCCTGGCGCTGCAGCCACAGGACCTCCAATGCATCGAGCAGACCTGCAGAACTGGTGTTTGACATGCACGGTTCCATTGCTCACTTTGAGCAAACATTTCAATAACTCCACAGTAAACTAAATCCCTAGGAAAGGGTCTCTCTGTTCTGAGTTTCAGAAGTTTTTGGGAAATTAAACAAACCCCATGGAAAACAAAAATAATCTGCTTGAAATTCTCTTCTGAGGAATAAAGAGAAGTAAGTAAGTAAGAGTGAAAATTGCAGCAGAAACATTTTAGACAAACAAAAGGAGTCAAGACTGTTGTACTTCATAGGCTTCAGATCATTAAAGAAACGACTGCATGAAGAACTTGAGCAAGAAAAAGACCTCAGGTATGAAAATAGTACGAGCATAATGGAATGTTCTACACAGTACTTTTGACTGATCTTTGCCTTCACCTGGGAAGACATGAGACCAAGTCTACTACTTTTCAACAAGTTCTCAGTGCTAGTTCTGCTTTCTTCCAAAAAAGAGGAAAGTTAGCCCAACGGTGACTAGCTGGGGACAAGTGTGTTTCTCCTCACGCTTCACCTTCAACAGAGCAGCTACGTGGAAAGTCACCAGGCCACGCTCAGACTCTGGAGGAAGAATGGGAACACCAAAGAGAAAAATCTTTCTGCTTTCAGGGCCTCTCTTCCTGTAGACTTTACACTCCCTGCTGAATTTTCACTCAAGACACACGTGACAGAGCATTGTAGAAGGATATTTAAAAGCATCACGTTTATGTAGCTCTTAGAAAAGCAAGCGTAGGAATGTTTTTTAAACCTGTTGGATCACAGGCTTGCGAGTACTGCAGGGAAGATATGCTGCTGTCTGGAAGGGAAGTGGCAGTGGCTGGAGACCATTGCTCCAGCGGCAGAATGGGGGGGACAGGTTGGTCTGAGTAGGTGACCTCTGTCGAACACCTTGGGAGTACTGGAAAGGCAAGCCCTGTTGCTGGAAAGCCTTGGGAAGCATTGTGCCCTGGAAGTGAGCCAAGGGGACTGTGCCGTGTTTTGCAGTGGACTGGACTCTGATGTAAACTTTTAGTCAGGGAAGTGTCGTGTTTCTGGTTTGATGTAGATCCATGGGATTAAGGAAAGAAACGGTTTTGAGGAAACTGTTCTACATTCATTAGTCCTGCTGCAGGTAAAAAAGAAAGGGAAACAAGAGTTTAGTAGTTTCCACAGGCAACAGAAGGCAGTGTGAGGAGCCAAGGCCTTATAATGGTGGTCTTCTCCTCAGAGCCTTAAACTGAACCAAAACAGTTGCTCTGTCAGCTACATGGAAGATAATGGCTGGCGTGCCACCGGGGGAATGGGCAAGTGGGACTGCTCTTCTGGTGGCAGTGGGGGAACTGAGCGGCCGCCAGCAAGGCCAGGGAACTCTTCTGCCTCAGGAGAGTGCTGCCTTTCAGCCTCCACACTGCCCAGTGCTTCTCAAACCCGGAATGGCCCCACATGGCCCACCCCATCTCATGGGACCATTGGCCTTGTGAGGCTGGAAGCGGGTGTCCGGGCGGATGGCCACCTCCAGGCCAGCACCAGCCTCGCCCTGTTGGCACATGTCAGGCGCTTCATGTGGCCTAGGAGGTTGGGGCAGTTGTGGCAAAAGTGGGGGCTGTGGAAATGGTGCAGGGTCTCAGCGGAGCTGCCACCAGTGTCAGGGCCACCCGCTGTTCCCACCATAACTTTGCAGAAGCCGTAGAGGTTGAGCTGCTGGACGAAGCTGCTGAAGTTCTTGGTCCGGAACAGCTTGGCCCCATTGTTGACCAACCTTGCTGTGTGGCCCAGCCTGGTGCCCAGGAGCTCCTGCTGCAAGAGTGCCTGGTTGATGACCAGGCCTTGGCCATGGGTGTCCGAGCGGATGTCAAGGCAGCTGGGCTGTTCACCAGCTGCCACAGCTTGGCAGGGGAGGGGTGGGGGCTGAGGGGGATGGCTCTTCCGTAGCGTTGGGCACGCAGGGTTGCAGCCGGTTTCTCCATGGCGATTGGTGCGGGAGGACACCTTTCTTCCAGAAAAAAGTGTGTATTTGTTGGTAACAGTGTCAGCCAGAACTATCCTAATGAAAAGCCTTTTTTTCAGCTATAGCACTCTACAATTTGGCATTTCAAACACAGAGAAAGTACAAAGGCAAGACTCCTGTTAGTTTAAAAGTTTAATTTCTGGCTGTGTAGGACTCCACACAGCAGGTTTCTACCTCTGATGGCTCCTACAGGACCACAGGATCCATCAGTGAAAGCAGCATACTGTTTCTGAAGCTCTGGTAATTGATTGTGTGGTGGTGCTTCTTCAGCCTGTTTCACCACTTCTGGTGGCATTCAAAAGTGTTTGCCTTCTGGCCAGGCTGTGATTGCTTCTACACTTCCTGGTTGATTTGGCTTTCCTTCTTGAGCCTGCTCCTGACTGGCGTGGGAGCTTTGTCATGCTCTGCCTTTCACTTGCACCCATTATCTCCTCCTTAGGCAGTCAGGTGTGCTGTGGCTCACTGGGCCCACCATATTGATGCTGGCATTAGCACAGATACCTGCTCGGTGTAGTGTACTGCAGCTCAGAACTTCTGGGCTCAGTGCATCCTGCGGGCTCAGCCTCTCAAGTACCTGGGCCTTAAAGCTCACGCCAAAGCACCTGGCGCAAATAAGTTGGTTGCTGTTTAACACAGATGACTTTCCAGCTTCTGACTCTCTCTTAGTCTCTCTTACAAGGAAAGGGAGGGAAAAGCCACCATATGCCGAACATGTCCTAGAGTGTAGTACTGGAGAGCATAAAAATACTGTAAAGATTAGGTTGAATAAGTGTGGATGTAAGACAAAGGAAGGGGCAGTCAGTCATCCTTCCATTAAGGCCCATGCAGGTGCTACCTCTGGCTCTGAGAAGACCTAGGCAGTGGAAGGAGAAGTGTCTTCCCAAAGGGCAGCAGACCATTGTCTAGTTGTTAGTGAGGTGAATCAATCCAGTTGCTGGGAAAGGGGTATTTTTAATACAGTTCCTGTTTTAACAAATTGTGCATTGTTGAAACAGATTGAAGGGTTTGCAAAGATGGGTGTGACAGGCCAAGGACCACTGGCACCAAGCAAGAACTGACAGCTGTCCTAATTAATCTGTACATGTAATTTAAGAGGTACTGTGTAACACACACTGTGAACAGGGCATGTGTCCTTGTAAATAGCAGTTTTTTAATGCCCAAATGGCTGCTTCTACCAGAAATAGTGATGACAGACTGCAGTTAGCTTTGCAGACTGTTCTGTGCACAGTCTTAGCATTTAGAAAGGACATCAATGTAGCATAGGTGTGATCCTTCTTTGACACAATGGTCTAGAAAATAACTAAAGAATAAGAAAGATGTCTCACTTTGTTTGTATTAATGGAAAAATTCTTTAGAAATGTGTTTTCTGTAAGTGTATTTGATGCTAGTAACTCTACTTTTTTATTACATTACTTTAAAACTTCTGATTTTTTTGAAGGTCTAATTTTATTCTGTAGCTCTGGAAATAAATAATCTCTGTACCTTTATTCCCAGATGAATATAGTAAAATTTTTTCACCGTTTTTTTCTCTTCACTGTAAGGTATTATAGTATGAGGGGGCACAGGCCTGTTTTATGGTATGAATAAAAGAACCTAGAGTGAGGCTGTTTAGGGCCTCAAGGGATCCAGGGGGCTCAGGGGAAGAGGGTTCAGGATTCCCCTCCCCTGCCATAGCCTATAAAAGCCAGAAGACAATAACTCCACCCCCTTTCCTACTCCCTTCTTCATTCCTCTGTCCCTTCCCTGTTGTCTTCAGCTTGCCATGTGCTCTGCAGGATCCTACTCCATCAGGTGCTGGGAAGAGCCCTGTACTCTTTTCAGTCAGCTCTGCTGTGTAGGACTTTTGAACATTTATATCAGTGACCACTGAAATCAGGTTGTGTATATAGTTGTATTTTTTTTCATTGATAGCCCACGTGTTACTATCCCTTCCCTATTGTAGTAAACCCATTCTAATTTTAATTTCCAACCTTGAAGTGTTGTTTCTTTATTCCCCTGGGAGCACTGGAGGGGGGTAACAGACAGCAATTCTGGTCTCTGGGTTTTGATTCCCCCAGACCCCTACACTGAGACAAAGTTAGGGAAAAACCACAAATTAATCTAGAGCATGAGCTTTCTGTGAAACTATGGAAATAGTTCATGGTGGAAGGACTATGACAAATTCAGATTAAGTGCAAGGCACAGCTGTGTTACATTATTGGTAGAGTATGCTTGTTCTGTCTTTGATAAGCTCTTTGAAGGGGCCTTTGGAGATCAATGGAGGGAAAACATGCTTTGCAGTTTTTCATTGTGGAAGTTTGTTAATGTTGAGGTATGGGGGCAGTTGTTAGGCAATGATACCACTAACTATGCTGGGAGCATTGGTTGCTATTCTGGTTTGCTTAACAGGAACAAGATGACTTAAAATACATGCAAGTTTTTGTCTGCATATTAATCTAATACAAGGATATCAAGTGGGTGTGTTCAGGAAAATGAAAAATTTCAGGAGAACTACAAGTGATACACCAGCAAGGCTGGGGAACTCTCCTGCCTCAGGAGAGTGGTGCCTTTCAATCCCAGCACCAGCTTTGCCCTGTCGGCACGTGTCAGGCACTTCATTTGGCCTGGGCAGTTGCAGCCAAAGTGGGGGCTGTGGAAGTGGTATCAGCTGAGCTAGCCCTATTGAATTCAGGGGTTATATGCTGATAAATTGGTGTATCTTTAAAAGAATCTCTTTCATAATGCTATTTTAAATTATTTGTATTTGATTGCCGGGATCCTTGTGTTTTACTTGACTACATGGTGTTGACCTTTTATGTTTCTCCTCGTCTTTTTTTTTTACAAGTTAGTCTAGTTTTGATTTTGTTTTATCTTTTGAGTTACTGTGAGCTGCCAGTATCTTTTGGCAATAATATGAACTATTTTGTGATGCAAATGGAATAGGATTAAAAAAAAAACAACAAAAAACTACTTTCACTTTGTTTTTTGTAATGGAGATGGATGTTATTTTGTACAAAATTTTGGTGAGGTCCACTTTAATTCTTGACAGTTATGTGAGGCTTTTATGCACCCTTCAGTTAAGAGGTGTAGGATATTAGTAGCCTACCTGAGTGCTAAGGTAGCCCCAGGTTTCCTGAGTGTTTAAAATCTGGATATAAACCTTCTGCTGGCACATAAATAAAACATCATCTTTTTAAGGTGACATGGAAGCAAATGAAGGATCATGTAATTGTTCATTGACACTGTGCTAAGTATTTACAATAAAAGTATGTCTAAAAATGCTCTGCTCTGTGACCAGAAGTCTTCCTGCTTAGCTCTGTACTGCACTCCTGCTCCTTGTGTATGTGGGCACACATGCTGGGAGTCCATCCCATTGCCAAGGGTGCACCTGGATAGCCTTTGTAGGAGTGGTAATTAGAGCATTTTTGTAACTTTTGCTGGCAAGGGGAGATCTTAATCAGGAAGCAGAAAGTGTAAGTGCATTATTACAGCGTGCCTGGCAACAGTACAGGAGAGGAAGCAATTGTCTGTTCTTTCTTGGTTCTGGCTATGTAGCCTGACAAGCCTGATTGTTCATCTCTGACTCAATGGCATTACCTCTGTGAATTCTCAGTTCATAATTCTTCTACTTTGCAAAGCTCTATTTTCTGCCTAGGGGGCGGAACCCGGCGGGAGTGGCCGCGCCGGGGCGGGTCGGTGCGGGGCTGCTCAGTGGTGGCCGTCGCCGTGGTGGTGGTGGCTGCGTCTGCCCTGCTGCTGCTGCTGCTCCGAGGGACGGGGCGCAGGGCGAGCGGCCGTGTGACCTTGCAGGACCCGCTGGCTAAATACCCGCTGCAGCTGGTGGACAAAAAGGTGACCGAGCGCCCGGGGCGGTCTCGCGTGTTTAAACCCTCGTCCTGGCTCTGTGGGGAGACTCTGCCGGCCTCTGCGCTGCCCCTCGGGTTGGGCTCTTGGCCGGGGGAGTCTGAGGGGCTGTTGGTTGTTCCTGGGCTGCCCCAGGCTCCGGGGCCAGAGGAGTGCGCAGAGCCCCCGAGGGGCTGTGACCCCCGCTGCCGGGCTGCGGGGTTTCCCTAGGGTAGAGCAGGCATCTTCTGTTCGTGCCTAAACCATGGGCTTACAGTTGTTTCAAGGGGAGGGTGGACTCTTTTCTTTATATGTTTAAATCCTCGTTTAGAGCTGTGTTTCTCCCTTGATTTGTGTCTGTTGTGCATCAGCGAGAAGTGATCCCCACAGCTTGTGCTTCTCTGCGTATCATGTCTTGCCTGATCTTTGGCCACAAATTATGAAATGTGCTCACTGGCCTTGGGCAATAGAGGCTCCCAGACTTTCTGTGTAAAGGTGGTGTAGGGATTTCGCTGACAAATGTCACTCCATGTGGAACTAGAGGAAAAGGCTTTCCTGCTAAAACTTCTGGTCTGTTAAAAACTTTACTTCTCAAAGCCATTTTTCTTCCCTTCTTACCATTTAGTATGCGTGCTAACAAGGAGCAGGGTTACTAAAGCATATCATGTTGACTAGAGTTTGAAATTCAAAGCATTGGGGATGTTGACCTCCTGATTTTGCTTGGATTGTTAGGAAATCAGTCATGACACCAAGAAATTCCGGTTTGGGCTACCTTCACCAGATCATGTATTAGGATTACCTGTAGGTAAGTCCTAAAGACACTTCATTATATCTACTCTGTTTTTAAGATTTACAGCTGTACCCATAGTGCTTCTGACTAGGAATTCAATACATAGCAAAGCAGGGAGTTAAAATCTGCATCTCAGTGCTGCAATGTCAGAGAGAAATGTCCGATTTCCTAAAGAGGTGTATTTCTGATTTTTTTGGCGTGCTTTGTTCTGCTTGTGTTAGTTCAGCAAGAAGAGTGAAACTGAACTG